GTGCCCCTTCATTGAGCCGCGCGCCCATCAATCAGCGTCGCCGCTGCCAGTCCTGGGGCAACTCCCGCGCCGGCCCTGGTGGATCCCGGCCGGGGGCGCTGGCGCTGGCTTCTCTGCTTCCTTTATTGCTTTCTCGCTCTCTGGCTGGCTGTGCCCGGGCGAGGTAAACAAAGTGCAATATCCTTCCGCGGCCCGGGCACGCTGTAGACTGCAGGGCTGGAGCGCCTGGGTGGCGACACTTCTGTGTCCCCAGGCAGCCCGGCGGGGTGGCCTCAGCTCTGTCCGCTCCTTAGGACCTAGTTCGTGCCTCCTACGCTTTCCCGGGAGAGCCCGGCACTCCTGCGCCGCGGCCCTCCCCGCCCCTGCGTCGGTGTGGCACAGGGCCGGTAGCTGGGCATCTGCAGCCTAAGCTGGCGTGCTCGGGCCACCCGGCGCTTGGAGAATGCTTTGCTTCAGCTCTCTCCAGCGCTTCGCGTTGAAATTGGAATCTATTGCGGGCTGCTAGCTGTTGTCACCGTCTCCTCTCCTCGCTTCCAGCGTTTTCGATACCTCTGACTCCGACTTAATTTAATCAGCAATTCTTCCTTCTAGGGCAGTGTCCAGAGGTCTTGGAGGACGAGGGGGACACAGATTTGCATCCTCACCTCTAGCAAGCGGCCCTTGGCTCCCAGCCAGGGTTCCCAGGTCCCCCCCACACCCTAGCACGTGGACCAAGAGTGCATTCAGTGCTGGGAGCAGAGGAAAGGCTGAGGCTTCACTCCTGGGCTATTCTTCACTTTGGGGGACGTTCCGTACCACAGGCTTGGGCAGGAGCACTGGGGAAAGGGGACCTGGACTGAAGCAAATTAGGGGCAAATTATTTTTAAAAGCGGTGGGGTGGTGAGGTAAGACCTGGAAAAGGGGTTGTTGGGAGGACTCTGGAAGCCTGTGAGGTTTTTGACCTGTGTCGCTCAGCTTCTAGTGGGGGCTGGGGTGTAGCGTTCATTGTTTACCACAGAGCGCTTTTGAAGGGAAAGAGAACTGCTTCTAATTGTGTGTGTGTGTGTGTGTGTGTGTGTGTGTGTGTGTGTCCGTGTGTGTCCCACCCCCGGGACAACAGTCACCATAGGCATCGGGTTCCCGGAGGTTGGCCAGAGATGAGAGAGTATGCTGATGGTACAGGTGGCCGCCCTAGAGCACAGAGCTTGGAAAGAAGGCACATCTCCATCTCCCTACTCCTCAGAAGCTTGTCTGGGGTGGAACTGCTGGTCTTCCGGGGATCTACTGATTCTCTTACACTGTGGATCCGACCACAAGCAGAGCAGGGGCCTTTAATCCAGTCCTACCCCAGGAGCACAGAGGCCAGAGTCAGAAACAGCCTGGGGCAAATTCTCCAGATGGGTCACAGAGCACAGTGCTGGGCTCCTCTGTGGGTGGCCACCAACAGTGTGGGTCGTAATTGGGCTTTGGGAGACCTGTTGTCCAGCCTGGGCCTCTGATTTTGAATGGAAATTGAGTCAAGACATAATTTCCTTTCTCTGCCTGGGTCCCTGTTTGTTCATCTGTAAAATGAGAAGCGTAACACAGCCCTGTTCACATCACGTGACTGTTCGAGAATTGCAGCTGCAGTTCCAGGAAATCTATGAAGGCTCCCTCTAAACTGCTCCCTGCGCTGGTGTTAAGGGCCCAAACTTAAGTAAGATGGTCTCTGCCACCCACGAGCTCAGAATCTAGCCCTAGAGAGAGACATTATGCAACCATGTGACACAGCATCAGGATCTCCAGGGAGCCCACAGAAGGGAACAACCTTTCTGGACTTCAAGAGCATTTTCCCAGAAAATGTACGTTTGTTTTTTCAAACCCTGAATTAATCCAGAGCAAATATTTATTGAAACCTACTATGTTCTAGACCCTGAATATGGAGACATAACAATTTGAAAGATGTATTTCCTTTCTTTGTGGTCTTTGAAAGAGTTCCAAGTCATAAGATAAAAGGCATAAGAGATGGGTGTTGGCATTTCAGAAAGAGAAGGAATGTGCAGAAAGGAGTGGGGTGTCCTGAAATCTCTAGTAAGGTGCTGTGCTCTAGGATTGGTAGCTGGATGGCCCCAGTCATTCACTGGGCCCGGAAATTGGATTGAGAAGGGGTTGGAGGAGCCGAGGGACATAGCAGAAGACTGTGATCTTCAAGGTAGAGAAGTAGAGTCAACGCTGACTTAAAATTGGAAAGTGATAGGGGTTGAATTGGGGGTCTAGGAAGATCCTGCTGGTGTAGACTTAATAGCAGTAGGCTTCCAAGTAAAGAGCACCCCTTAACATGACAGAGCAAGCAAACTGCACGCATACACTGCCGTGTAACGGATGGCACCTGCCACTGAGAATGAATTTACTACTTCTCATGAACTTGTTCAGCAGCTGTCGTCCTGCCCCTTCTTACAGGTCAAATGCATGGCTAAGTTCTGTGTCTATTGATCAAATTCAGGAAATTACTGTAGCTCGGGGTAAATTAGAAGATTTCTGTGAAGGAACTTGACCACTTCTTGTGCCTGCTAACTCAGTAATTCAAGGGATTAGGCCTTTGAATCACCTTGGAAAACTATTTTAAAAGTTGTGGTAAGCAGAAGGGTGGAAATCTTCATTTATTTACTTTTTAGCTATGTGATCTTGGATGGATTTAGAACCTCTTAATCTACAAAACAGAGCTGTGATCTGAATTTTGCCAATGCTTAAAAATTATGAGAGGTGTTTAAAACAACTACCACAATGTCCTAGATGTAATACAAACTAGAGTGTCACTATTGTTGTTTTTGTTGGAATATATCCACAGAAAGCAATCCAACATGAGATACACAAGTAATAACAGTACGTAAAATTTTTATAGCATTAATAAGATGTGGGAATTGTTAAATATACAGTTGTTACAGGAATGGTTAAATGCAATATGTAGCTATGATAAAAGATGTGGCACTAAAATGATGATCATATAATTTTTTAAGAATACATTTCAATCAGTCCACTCCATAGCATAGATACATAGTACAGTCGTCTAAGGTCAATGGCCTGCTCTGCATGCCTGCTGGGACCTTCTCAGTCCTGAGATGTATTTACTTCTCCATTCCCTTCATGGCTCTGGTTGACTCACATAGCAAACACAGTAAGCATCTGCTGTACATGAAGCCCTAAGCTCAGTTCTGTGTTCCTTGAACAAGTAAGTGCTATTTTGAGCAAGGCTCCTAAGGCCACTATTTCATTTTAATACTAATATTTACCAGGGATGAGGACAACTTTCTGTCTTAACTCTTAAATCATTTTTGGGACCAAAAATCTGCAAAAAAAAAAAAAAAATTCCAGGAGGTGTAGCAGAGAGGATCAACTGAGGCTGATGTGTAGATGACCAACCCCTCCAACTCTGCAGTAGTCCATTCCCATTGAGAGCTCTGTCAATGGGACCTTAGCATTGTAAGAAATGCAGATCTGAGCCTATCTGGGTTGCAACTCCATAATCTACTAAATTGGGTGGGTGACTCACAAGCACAAATTCATTTCTTACAGCTCTGGAGACTGAGAAGTCCAAGATCAAAGCCCCAGATTTGGTGTGGTGTGAGGGCCCAGGTTCTGGTCTAGAGCTGGTGTCTTGACACCGGACAGGTGGCCTCCCTGTGGCTGATCCTGCTTGTAAGGGCTCTGTCATTACTATCTATCCTCCAAGCAAAGGCCCAGCTCCAAAGACCATGACACTGGATAAGAGTTTCAGCATATGAATTCCAGTGTGTGTGTGTAGATATACAGACCATAGTAGCCATATGTAGCCAAACCTGGACCCTTGAAGCGTAATTCATTGGTCAGAATTCAGGAATTTCCCAACAACTTCCTCTTCTCAGTTACCTCCCCACTGGGTGCCCACCACTCCAGGGCCTCCC